AGAGTTGGATTTTTCGCTGGCTCAGCACCAGCGTCTGTGACAACAGCCGACGTAAATGGCGATGGCAAAGCTGATATTATAGTCGCATACAAGAATACAAACAATGTTGGTGTTTTACTGAATAGTGGTACTGGCACATTTCCTGCTGCTCCAGTAACCTATGGGTTACTTGCTAACTCAGCACCGACGTCTGTGAAAACAGCCGATGCGAATGGCGACGGAAAACTTGATATTATTGTCGCAAATAGTGGTACAAACAACTTTGGTGTTATCCTGGGCAATGGTGATGGCACATTTGCTGCTACTCAATTAACCTACGCAACTGGCACTGGCACAGTACCGGTGTCTGTAGTAGCAGGCGATATAGATAGGGATGGTGACAACGATGTTCTGGTTGCAGACAGCGGTACAAACCAAATTGGTGTTTTCTTAGCTGTCTGCAGTAAATGAAGGAATCCCGCTTTTTTGTCAGGAGAATCTGACAAGATGATATTATGACAGTGACATTAACAAAGCATTTTATTCTATGTAGAGACAATTTAGTAGCACAAAACATTTTTCATTTCGATCTCTTTTTTTCTTCTTTACTAACCAAATAAGAAAAATATTCATTATTATTTAGAAGTATTTACTAACAAACTCATAATCAAAATTGATTCTTCACAATAAAGTTGAGAAAAATTTTAGTCTCCACCTTGTTCAGTAGAAATTCACTTTCGCACGACAGTGACTGTTGATAATACACAAGCCATCATTACCGATTTCGGCCTCACTAACGAGGGTCATTCAAAAAGTATGCGGATTGATTTTATTTGAAAAGAATAAGAAGCTCTGCTGCATTTGTATGGTATGATGGAAAAAGAAAGAAAAGAAAAATGTCGAAAGGAGAAACGTCGAAAAAGAACATCGAAAAGAGGAATATCGAAAGGAAAATCATCGAAAAGAAAAATATAGAACGAGAAAATGCTGAAAGAAGTATATCGAAAAGAAAATGTGTCGAGTTAAAAAGAAACCATTTTCATATTAATTAAAAATGTACAGCATAAAAAAACTGCCGAGCAAAGAAGAAAAATAGAACAATCCATAGTACATATCTTCAGTGTGGTGGGTGTGAGGTGTGGTATGAGTGTAGGCGTAGTTACCATGTAAAAGATCACTCATACCACACGCCACACCCACACTTACCCATACCCACACCCACATCCACCCACACTCACCTACAGCCACACCACCACCCACCCACACCTTTAGTTCCTTAAAAAACCCGACTTCCGATATCTTCTATACAAAAAAATCAGTGTACAACTCTGTCCTGTTGCAGCTAATCTATAGTAATATAGGTATTTCATCATCAGAATGTCTTTTGTGAGCCAGCGATGCATCCTCCTTGCCGCTTTTTAACTGTCTCCATCGATATCTATGCGTGAAAAAAATGAAAAATATGAAATATCGAAAAAATGTCGTTTCTGCCTTATATCGTGTCTTTCTCAAAATCAACTTTTTTATAGAAAAGTTGAAGTTCTTCCCCTTTTTCTCGTAACCGACTCGACTGATTGAGCTGAAATTTTTTGCGTAACAACTAGAACCAAATCCGGGTGTATCTGTTTTTTCTTTTCTTGAAATAATGCTCTGCTGATTTTCGGTAGATCTCACAAAATTCGCGCTAGGGCAAAAAACACTTTTTTTTGATAGGGTTTCCAGTATTTCAGTTCACCTAAACGAAGAAAACAATACTTTTCAAAGAAAAAAAAAATATACACCCCAATTCGGTCCTAGTTGCTTCGAAAACAAATTCAACCATAAATGATGAATTTTGACTGTTTCCGAGGGGGAAAACTTCAGGCCATTTTTAGCACTTGCAGCTTCAATATCTCATAAAAGGATGCATCTGGAAATTCAGGGTCTATGACAACTTTTACTCTACTAGTCAAGATCTATCTACCCTGAAAATTTCATAACTCTTGGTCGAGCCATTCTTGAGAGATCCGAGAAAAGGGAGTACCCTTAAGTACATAAAATCCGAATCGATTTTGTCGGATTCTAACGCATTGACGATCATTATACTGATTGTCTTACTGTCCTAGGAATCGTATATCATCAATCTGGATACCATAGCTTCTCATGAGTACAATATTCTGTGACAAATGTCTTACTAGATATTTTGCAGCTCCTTTTGTACTTTGAGAGTGTGAATCCTCTCTTCATTCACACTCTCGCACAACCTCAGCCAAAAGAGTTATAGTTCAAAAGCTTTATTTACGTGCATACAACTTTGGTAAGAGTATGTTCTGTCGAAGTCTTCGATTGTTATATCAATACACTTTGGTTAACTAACATATATACGCATATTTCATAGCTGTTCAAGCTTGTAGCTCAGAGTGTAGTCATTTCTGACGTGAAAAGATATGATAGAAATAATTGTTGAAGTTACGATGATAACACGAGAATTAAAACTACTGCACTGCAAAGATTATTAATCTTCGATAGTGAATTTAATAAGTTATCGTTAAAACCTTCGCTATATCTAACAGCAAAATACAGATGAGAAGGAGTTTGTTCTCAAATCATTTATATTCAAATCTAAATTTTACTAATGAAATCTTTCAAAAACTGTTTTTGACAGTTAATGCCTTCGGTGATATCATCTGTGCATTCTTGTATATGGAACACATGTTTGTAATTTTAAAACAGGCATATACTTTTGTTTCAAAACTAGAAAACGTCAAGGCCACAAAAAGAACTTATTTTTGTGCGACAGCTTGAGAATATACAGCTCTCATAAACAAGAAAATATACGTCAATGCTAGAGCAAGACTATCCGATTGTTCGCAGTGCTTGTTGGATCGAAAGAAAATTGTAAAAGCATGCAAAAATAGCTTAGTGGTGATCGATTACTAGAATTTTAGTTCGTTAGACATGTAAAATAAGAATAAATAATAATTATCAAATAAAACTTTACAATCATCCGTAGTAACCCAACCTATCATCGAGCTCCACTCGGCTTTTGCCAAGTGCTCAAAAAATCCTGAATATGTCCCTACTCTCTTATGAAATGAAATCAGGTTTTGGGAAGGATATCATTTGAAAACCGTCATCAAATATTGTTGTGTTATCTTGAAATATGTGTGCCTTTTCAGTCACAGGAGTCGCTGCCGGATTCCCTTTGGGTATTACACGTGATCCTAACCCGGGCATACTTTACGTGACTAGTTCGAATAATTGTATCTACCAAATTGCACAAAATAGCGGGGTTACATCGCCAATAGTTACTGGATTGACCAACCCAAGTGGTGCTGCTTTGAATTCAACATCAACTCATCTTGTGATCGGTCATCAAGGAGAAGGCGCTATCGTTAGCTGGGCTTTAGAAGCCGGTGCAGTGACACCTATTACTAATCTTAACTCAGCACCAGGGGCTGCCAGAGATGTAACGATCGATTCCTCGGGAAATATGTGCGTCGCCGACACGCCCAATAATCGCATACTGTTCTTTCCGGCTGGTCAAACGACTGGTCGTGTCATTGCAGGCACGGGGGCACCTGGCAATGGAGACAACGAACTAAGTAGTCCCTCTGCAGTTAGACTCGACAGTCAAGATAATTTGTACGTGGCTGACACACTCAATCACCGCATACAAAAGTTCTCGTGTATCCTAGCTTAAGCTGCAACGGTCTTGATGAAACATTGAACATGTTCTCTTTTCTTTCTTTTTACTCATTCATACATACTTTAGAAATAACTTGCTTTTAGTTTTCATATTTATTCACATAGGAACCACAGTTGATTTGTATCGCAATTTTTTTCATACATTATTTCTATACTCATTTTTTCTTTAATAAAACATATATAATGGCGTGTGGGTAGACTAATCGAAAACACATCGACTTAGTGTGCCAAGAGATACACTGACATGACATGCTATCACCTGTATGTGGTATCATCGTTACGTCATTTCACTCTTGCTTCATATCATCTTTTTATGACATCATCCTCGTATCCTTAAGTAATACGCCCCATAGTGTTCAATACTTTTGTAATCGATGCGCTATACACTGCCTATATGCTCATTATTCTCTTTTCACTCCGATATATTACCGCATCAAACAGAAGCAAGGAGAAAGGATGTGGGTGGGTGTGGAGTGTGGGTGTGGGTAGATGTGAAGTGTGGGATGTGGATGCGGGTATAGGTGAAGACACTATCTATACCCACATCCTCAAGTATCAATTTTTATCCTCGTACTTTGATTCAATGTGAATGAACGAATGTATGTTTTGTTTCAGTACCATAACTATGCAGTGAACATCTAAATACCAAACCAAAATGGATATAGAATAGTGTCATAGTCGCTGGAGGAAATGGGCAAGGTAGTGAAATGAATCAACTCAACTATTCCTGGGATTTGTGTATTGATGATGATAAAATTATATACATCGCTGATTACTGGAATCATCATAATATTGAATGGCAATGTGGTGCGACGACTGATCGAGTTGTGGCCAGTGGAAATGGACAAGAAAATCTTCCTGATCAGTTAAGCTATCCGACAGATGTGATTATTGATAAAAAAAAAATATTCTTATTATTTGTGATGGTGTTAATAATAGAGTATTTCGATGGCCTCGTCAAAATGGTACAAATGGAAAGAAGATCATCTCAAATATTGGATGTCATGACTCGACAATAGACGGTGATGGCTTTCTCTACATTGTTGTTTGCGCTAGATATCAAGTTACACGATATCGAATGGAAGTAAATCAAGGAACAGTCGTTGCAGGTGGACATGGTCTAGGGAGTCGTCTTGATCAATTGAATTATCCAAGATACGTATTTGTCGATCGAAATCATTCTGTGTACGTATCGGACGAGTAGAACCATCTTGTTATGAAGTGGATGGAAGGTACGAAACAAGGTATTGTTGTGGTTGGTGACCAAGGTCAGGGTAATAGTCTTACACAATTATCATTTCCTTATGAAATTTTTGTGGATTAATCGGGTAATCTCTATGTGAATGATTATGAAAACGATCAAGCACAAAAGTTCAGCATTGATCAAATTTGATGATTTTGGAAAATTGACCTTGCTTTAACATTCTCATCATAGTCTTGAACAAATGATTGAACAATAAAGACATTTCGAATTGAATTATCTTGTATCGACTAGCATATGATGATGAATCACATAACAAAAATCATTATCTGTCAAGTTCTACTAGAGAATTCTGTTTTGAATACTCTGACATTATCCAAATATTTTAGTTTTTTATCGACTTAAAAGAGTTTATTTTCATCATTAAGAAATCGATGATTTTTAAAAGTTCTCTGTGAAATGGGCAAATGTCAAAGATGATTTGAATTTTAGCTCATCGAACGATCGTCTGGAGCTAGTCGACGAAGCAAATTTGTTTTAGATGCAACTCACCGTGAAATGCAATGTACTTGTGTTATTATTCGCTGATGATTTAGCAATCTGCTTCTGATCTCGCATGGAGTAAGAGAAAGTTTGATCTACATAGAGAAAGAATATAATGCATATCACACTGTGACAGAAGAAACTTTCAGAGATGTTGAAATCATCTTTGATATACTTTCTGTGTTCGAATTCGTTTTCTGAACCAAATTCTAATTCAATGATTTCGATCGATGAAACACAGAGAAAATGTTGTTCCTATCGATGAAGATTTCAACAGATTGATTAGATTATATATTGCATAAATGTCAAGCATTTCTTAGCGTCTCAGACTTTGAATAGAAAATGAGAGAGCGTATCATTTCTCTTATGATCATCTAGAGGGTATGGGTGTGAGGGTGTGGATCTCGATGAAGCGAAGATCCTCACTCACACACCCACCAACAGCCACAACCACACTCACACCGTTACTTATTCACCCAATCATGCATCCACAGCCGCAGCCTCACCTCCACCTTGATTATTATGTGATGTCTGGTTATAAGTAGTTTTTATGAGATTTATAAGCAATAAATTCAGGAAAACTTAGATAATTCAAATTTTCTAGTCGAGTTACAGAGGAATAGAATATAAACGAAATTTGCTGAGCTAAAAATCGTGATGACTCGAGGACATATTGTCAGATTCAAAGCGATTTCTTGATGAAGTGCTTGAGTAGCATCTATATTGAATTCAGTTATATTAAGTTTTTCTAAATTTTGTGTAACTGTTAACTTTATGAAAACAGTGACCTAACCAAGGAAGAATCACGAAGCTGAGTATCCATCAGCAAAGTGCTATTGATTAAAACTCAATCCGATGCTGTCACTATGACACTTCTAACTTGTAAAAGAATCACAATAAATAGTTTATAATGGTAGCATATATTGTTCGATATATATGTAACCGTAAAGATACTCGAAAAAAAGGTAATATAAATGAAAAAACTGTCAATGGTTAGTTCTATGAATGAGTAGGGTAAAGGAATCGATCACTATGAATTATTTGTGTGATTTCTTCAAAAGTTCAAATGATGTCGATACCAATGCGTACTTTTCTAGATGAGGAGTACTAATAAAGTGTAGCTTTCCAATTGGTGAGCTAGCATATGCTTTTTGTATCCACAAAACTAATCGACCATCACTAAGACAACATGCATTGACTGGTCCAATATGAAAACGACGAATAAGAACACCGTCTATAGCTTGATAGAGAAGTAATTGTTGACTTCGAGGATCACATAGAAGATATTTAGATTCTGTCCCATAAGATACGATTGCTGTTATCCATCGAATTGACGAAGGCAAACGAACGTGATCAGCTAATTTTTTAAGAGAATGATTGTGTAAAGCAAAATAATGATCAATTTCTAATAGATTTCTTAATTGTGTAGTTGATTTTTCTATTCGTGGAAAACGTCGATAAACAAAAGCTAGATGATCATAAGATAAACATATGGCAGCCAATTGCCCATCAATCGATAGATCATTAATTAATTTCAGTTCTTGGTCTACATCATCCAACGTATAGGTCTCTAATCGATATGTGTCTGCTCCAGACTTATAGGCTAAAATTGAGTAAAAAAATTTTCATTTTGGTGAAAATTTGTGAAGCTCACCATAGAATAAAAGTCCAGTATGGTTACTTGCAAGAAATCTTCGAGAATCAGTACGATCATCGTAAGTTGGTTGACAACGATATCTTATTGTCATGTAACGACGTGATGTCGGTGGCATTGTGCCAGAACAACAACGAGCACCACATCCGCATTTGCAAACACATCGAACTCTTTGTCGATCAATATCAAACATGTAAAAATGATATCGACCGACAAGAATTAATCGTTCAACGTAAGAACACCAAACACCTGCAAATATCTTATCTTTTATATTGCCTAGTACTCGACTAAGTGGTATAGACCAAGTTAAACCAGAACCACGTGTGTACACATCAATAGATAATAAACTGAGTAGTATGACACTGTTATCTCGTCCTTGACAAAAGACTGTTTCTAAGTATGAATCAACTAGTGAAACTGCTATCGGATGTGGACCCATCGAAAACGATCGTTCGATAGGAAGTGGAAAATCTTTTTGAATATTCAGTGAGACAGTAATCGTCTTTGGCCGATTGTTTCTTGCTGTCTGTGCTCTCATATGAGAACGACGAAAATTATGAGAAGCCATAAGAGATGGAGACTTTTTAGTGATTTGGCCTATTTGATCATTGAGACGCATGTCTAAATCAAAAAGTGTTTTTGCATCAAGTAAGTGATCCTTTTCAAGATGTTCCTTGAGAATAATTAAATAAGTTTCCAAAGAATTTCTTGCCATAACTGATAAGTTGGAGCTAAACAATAAATAAATGAAATTTTTCTACGAGTATTCCCCATTATCAACAATATCATCATCTTTTTTTTCTTCAGATCCATTCAAGCGCAGATACTTACTCTGTCAAATTATCAGTAGAATCGGCCAATCTCATTTGGTACATTTTCAATCGTTTGAAAAGTTCATGCATTTGTCGAATGACATTAGCACGATGTTTGCTAGTACATCGAGCACAGAGAACAGCTTCACAATGATCGATACAAGCAAAATTAGCAATCAAACCACATGACGAACATTCTCGATCTAACTTCAATCTTTCTTCTGTTGTTAGTAGTGATGCATGCAATGCTGTGCTCATTCTGCGATGCTTATAGTGTTAGGTTAGTTTATAATCTAGAACAAAATGTAAAGTTCGCTCGAGTTCGACTTACGGAAAGCTTCAGAACAACTGACTTAGATGAAACACTTAACCAAAAAATTGAATACTGAAGAAAAGAAAATCTATTACTAAGTTTTTCCAAATTATTCATTGTACGACAATTGTGGCTATGTAAAATTTTAAAATGATTTCAATAATAGCATACATTCACTTATTTGCCATCAATTTTCTTTTTCTGTCGTTACCGACAACAACAACAATAGAAACAAAGTAATATGGTGAGTTGACATGTGCCTTAAGTGAACGAGTAAGATGTAAACGGGTGTAGGTTTATTTTTTCTCTCGATTAATATGAAAGACTATGGATAAAAATTTAAGTTTGATTCCACCCAAGTATAGCGTATAAACGAATGTTTTTTTTTTGTTTTATTAATAGTTCATTTAATCAAAATATAGCGAATATATTCAGAATTTTCTTTTCTTTCTAGTGACTTTATGGTCACTCTATATATTGATAAAATCTAATAAAATTTGATTGGTTGTTCGATAGACAAATAAGAAGCAAGGTAAACATAACGTGTGTACATATCATTTTTCCTTTTCAATTCGCATTTCGTTGATCAGGCGATCGAAATTACTCTAAGGCATCTGCCTATGTTTATATAAGTAGAATAAAAAAAAATAATAATAATTAAATAAAATTTTATTCGTGTTGTTTTTTTTTTCTTTGTCATTTTAGTTTGTTTTTTGTTTTATTATGATTACCTAATATGAATATATCCCGGTGATGCTTCAATCATCAACAGTTAAAGATAATAATCGTACAACAGAATCTCTATCACAATTACGTGTTAAAATATGTTCTGTACGATTACCATCATCAATAAAACCTGTAGATATAAGTGTTGTAATGGAAGTAGATAATAAACATTTTTATCGAACAGAAATCATACGTAAAAAAAATAAATTAAATACAAATTCATCAATAATAACTATAAATGAATCATTTGATATACTTGTTACATTAAATTCAAAAATTTTAATAAAAATTCTTGCTCCAACACGTCTTTTTGGTAATCATGATCTAGGACAATTACAATTAAATATAAAAACACTTATTGATGATTATCATTTATTGGAACAAAATAATAATGATACAATACCATCGTATCTTGTTAAATTACCTTATGATAATCAAACAAGATCATCATCAACATTTCGATCAAATGATACAAATAATCTTTCGAATGGTGTTATTGAAATTATTTTTTATGGTTCTCTACTTAGACAATATGATGAAAATAGCAATCAACAAGTAATACTCAAAAAGAAAACATTATATAGATTTATTATTTTTTTGTTTTAGGATACACAACAACAGTCACGTCCATCCTCATCTCATTCAATATTAGAAAATAATTTAGAAACACCAAATCAATCAGATAATCATACAAATGGTACTAGTATTAGTAGTAGTAGTAGTACAGAAACAACAACAGCAGCAGTAGCAGCGGCTGCAATCATTCCTGATAGACAACAAACAGGAACAAAAAATGAAACATCTTTAACAGAACTTAAAGAACAAGTTTGTAGAAAAATAAAAATTCTATCGAATAATATTCTTTTTTATTTTAGTTACCACCAGGTTGGGAACTTCGATACGATCCTTTAGGTCGTCCTTATTATGTTGATCATAATCGTCGTCGAACAACTTGGAGTCTTAAACAAGAAACACTTCCATCTGGTTGGGAAGAACGTGTTGATAATCGTGGACGTGTTTATTATGTTGATCATAATACTCGTACAACAACATGGAAATTACCAACTGCTACTCATTTATCAAATGTTGCTGAATGGCAAAATAATTATGCTAGAAGTCATTCTGTATTTAATCAATTTGAACATCGATTTTTACCACAAACTGATACCAATATTCAATCAAATGATGCTTCCAATTCGACTGAAGAATCTTTACCAGAAGGTAAAATAGAATGAAAAAAAAAAAAATCATAAATTATTGAATTTTTTTCTTTTTTTTTTGAAAGGTTGGGAAAGAAAACATGATAGTCAAGGTCGAACTTATTATCTTAATCATATATCTAAAACAACTCAATGGGAAGATCCACGACGAATGGATAATAATATATTTGATATACCATTACCACAAGGTTTTGAAATGCGTTATACAAAAGATGGGCAAGTTTATTTTGTTGATCATAATACAAAAACAACAAGTTTTCGAGATCCACGAAATGGTCTTATGCCAGTAGAAATAAATTCTTTTCTTCCAAAAAAAAATAAAACAAAAGTTATTTTCTTTTTTTCTTAGTCTATACTTGAATCAAATGTAGCAACAACACCAAATTATCGACGAAGTTTTTCAAATAAAATTCGACAATTTCGTTATTTATGTACAACAAATGCTACACCTGGTCAATTAAAATTAACAATACGTCGTGATAATCTTTTTAATGATTCTTTTACAAATATAATGCAATGTCAATCAAGTGAACTTCGTCGTCGTTTATATTTATTGTTTAAAGGTGAAGAAGGTCTTGATTATGGTGGTGTTGCACGTGAATGGTTTTTTCGTTTATCACATGAAGTACTTAATCCAATGTATTGTCTATTTGAATATGCTAATAAAAATAATTATTATCTTCAAATAAATCCTGCATCATCAATTAATCCAGATCATTTAACTTATTTTCGGTAAAAATTAAGTGACAAAAAAAAAAAAATATCTTAACTATTTCATGAGAATTGTTTATTTAGATTTATTGGTCGTATTGTTGCTATGGCACTTTATCATGGAAAATTTATTGATAATGGTTTTAGTTTAGCATTTTATAAACGTATGCTTGGTAAAACATTAACAATGCATGATTTAGAATCATTAGATCCTGAATTTTATAATAGTTTATTATGGATATGTGAAAATGATTTAAATAATAATGATAATCTTGAATTATATTTTAATACATCATTTGAATTATTTGGAAAAATTGAAAGTATTGAATTAAAACCAGATGGAAATGATATTAAATTAATAGAAGAAAATAAAAATGAATATTTAGAATTAATGACAAAATGGAGATTTACACGTGGAGTTGAAGAACAAACAAAAGCATTTTTACATGGATTTAATGAAGTAATTTTCTTTTTTTACCATAGTAGATTGGGATTGTGTAAATATTTATTTAAAGTTGTTTTTTAACAGAACTTAGAAACAAAAAGAAATAACAGGAGGAGGATAACTTCATATTGTTTATCGGTCTAATTATCTAAAAGTTACAAAGAGAGATAGTAGAAATTTAATCTTTAATTTATTTAGGTTGTACCTCAACAATGGATTCAGATATTTGATGAACGTGAATTAGAATTACTTTTATGTGGTATATCAAAAATTGATATTCTCGATTGGGAACGTAATACAATATATAAAAATTATACTGAAACAGCTAAACAAGTACAATGGTTTTGGCAATTTGTACGTGAAATAACTGATGAACAACGAGCACGTTTATTACAATTTGTTACTGGTACATGTCGTGTACCTATTGGTGGTTTTTCTGAATTACTTGGTAAATATAATTATTTCATTATGTTTAATTTGAATGTTTTTTTTTTTGGTTTCAGGATCAAATGGACCACAAAAATTTTGTATAGAAAAATATGGCAAAGATAATCTATTACCTCGATCACATACATGTTTTAATCGATTAGATTTACCACCATATAAAAAATATGAAATTTTAAAAGAAAAACTTCTATTTGCTATTGAAGAATGTGAAGGTTTTGGTCAAGAGTAATTCAAATAAAACTTCCTCTCTCTCTCTTGTTATTTGAATTCTGTACGTTAATAGTGAATGACGTTTTTCTTGTTTTGTCCAATATGAGCATTTTAATTATTTCGTTTACTGACAGCAAAAGAAAAAAAAAACCATGATTTTTAGGTTTTGTTTTTGTGTTCTGTTTGTAATGCGATATTTTTCTGTCCATCTTCATTAAATTGATTTTTTTCTTCTATTGTTATAACAGTACATATTTTTTTTTCTTCTCCTTCTTTCTTTCAAAAATTTTTACGAAACAATTGTAGCAAACAAACACTCATTTTTATTTTATTTATTCTATCCAATATGTATGTACAATTGGATTAGAATATGTATTTATGTGTATAGGGAAAATGATTGTCTTCTTCTTTGTTTTTCTTCTTTAATTCGGGACTATTTTGATTCAGAATTAATCGATTTTTGTTTGTTTCAAACATTAAATTGATTAATAGATTTATCGCAGTGAGTTTGAAATTCATTTAAAGTTTACTAAACTAAAAAAAAAAAAAATATGTAAAAGATCTCATTTGATTGTGTTGAATTCTTGTACGATCGTGATATTTTACAAAAATATATTTGATTTAGTCATAAGAATGACTTTGATTGTAATATTGAAACATGAAGTTTATAAAGAAATCATTAAAATAAACAATTCAATGACAATGATAGTACATGTAAAATTGAATTCAATTGCTAATTTATACAATTAACAACATTGTTGGATTTAAAAAAATCACCATTTGTCATTGGATTTAACGTATTGTGATACTAAACATGACAATTACAATGTTTCTTTCGTAATCCGATATTGTCAAAATGACATAAGATATTCTATCGAAAGAATTGAAAAGAGAACAATATTATTCTTATCATCTCTTCCGAACATTCATAAATGAATAAATAATTACGCAATATGTTATTGAATTTTTTTCTATTCCCTCCTTATATCTATGTCATTGCTGATAGAATCTATCGATGATAACTAGTATCTATTCATATATGTATTTATTTATTTAATTAGTCTATAAACGAACAAATGTTGGTCTGAAATACGAATAACTCCTAATTAATTATAAAAAGATTTTGTTTGTTGATGAACTATACAATCAATAAAGTTGTTTTTCTTTCACATTAAAAGAACGATAATGAGATAACCAAAAAAAAGAAAAAACACATTCCTTCATTCATAGTGTCGATATAAATTATAATAAAATCTAGTTTTTTTTTTTCCTTTTTCTATCGATTCCACCACCATATTAAGGCAATAGAGAAAAATAGGTACCATTGAATAATTAAATTTTTTGTCGCAGAATCAAATGCTTCACCACTATAAAATTTTCGTGGACTTAATCGACAACGTACATCAGTAACAGCATGATCACATCCATAAAAACCACCTTAAACATTAAAATGTTTCAGAAAAAAGAAAAACAAAGAAGCAAGAAATTTTGTATTTTACCGTGACAATATAAATTAGCCTGTTTCATAATATATTCCATAAAATTTGAAAGTTGTTCAACATCATCACGAACTTCAATAATTGAACAATTTGTTATATGTTTACCAGCACATTGAATATAATCAGATACTGCTTTACACCATTGAATTTTTTCTTGTACACTCCATGCAGTTTCAAATTTTAAACGATCATCCAATATATCATTACATTCTTTTCCAGCCTATTCTTTTTTTTTTTGTTTTCAATATGATAACGATAGAAAATGATAATAATATAGTACAGACCTCTTCTACTTCACAAGGTGGCATGGTTGAAGTTGTTGAACTTGTTGTTGTCGTAGTTTTTGCTGGTGGTAATGTTGTTGTTTTACATTTATATTGAATGATTGTACTACCACCAAGACCAGCACAATATCTACCCAATCGCCAACCCTAGTACATCAAATTTAATAGGAAAACATCAATAGTTTGAAATAGATAAAAATGAATAACAATAACAAGAAAGAATCCATATATTTTCAAATTCATCTTGAAAATTCTTACAGCTTGTTGAAGACCAACTTCAAATGCTGCTAAAGCACCTGCATGTTCACTTTTTAAATCACAACATTGAAGTCGTTTATTAACACATTCAACATATTTTTTTCCTTGATCACAAAATTGAAAAAGTTGTTCACGTGTATATAAATCATATTTAAACTTCAAAGAAAAAACACAAAAAAAAAATAAACGAACAAAAAAAAAACAATGAAAATAAATACTATACAATTTCTTCATCATCAGCTGTTGGTGGTTGTGGACAATCGGATGCTTTCCATATATTACAAGTATTTGTTAAAGTTATAAGAAAAAACAAAAATATATATAATAATAACAATAAATAATGATGTTTAGTGAATAACATTTTTTCAACAATTGAAATGTGTAAAGACATCATTGTCGTTGTGTGTGTTTTTTTCTATCTCTTTTTCTTGTTCTTCTGACACCTACACATTTTATTTATCAATTCACAATTGACATCTTTGTCACACGAAAGTATTCAATGAACCCAAATCTCTGTCGGGAATAAAGAGATAGAGAGAGGATCACGTACACATATTGTTAGGATGGATGGTCAAATCAATTACTGCATAGTCAAGAAATTGTTTTCATTCAAACAATGTTATATGACCTTCGAGAAGAAAAATTTCTTTTTTTTTCATGTTTAAATGGAAGAAACATCTTTGACCTTCGTTTGTCTTTTTTTTTTCTGTATATATATCACTTACTTGTATTTGAGAGGTTTTAAACAAAACGAATGTCAAAAAAAAAATGAAAGCGGCAATTGAATGACATAATCATTTTTTTTTGTTTAAATAAATAACAAACGTAATATCGGGTGATGAAGTAAACAATCGTCGTTGAAAGGATTGAAGGATGAGCTAGTCGGGTTTTTTCTTCTTTTACTTCCTGTTTATTTCTATTACTTTTTCCTCATTCAACGTAATATGAAAGATTGATTTGAAGGTCAAACAAAAATCTTTTAATAAAATAATGTTGTTCAACATTTGTGTAATTTATAGGATGTCGTTCTGATACTTATGAAAGTCTTATTCATTATATTTCAAATAAGAAAGGAATGATGAATAGTATAGAAAGAGGTGAAAAAAAACACTGAACGTGTGCTCTTTTTATTGCATCAAATGAGAGGATAGTGCTTTATAATCTAGAGGAAAATTCATGAAATAACATTTTATTCACCCTCAGTTTTCATATGTATCCTATATTAATATTGTTGCATAACAACTTTCAAAAGTCTTGCCTACGTTCGCCAACACACACACTAGAATTTTGTCAAGTGGCGAACGTTCCATTGGTGAAACTCGGACCACCTGGAGATTCGAATTTGTTTCCGTACACTTCAATAAAATTTTTAAATTTTATTTTTATTTATTTAACAAGGAGATTCTTTTCTACAAAATGCACATATATAGAAAAAACAAAACAAAACAATTTCAGTACGAAAGAATATTTCGACAATCGATTAAAAAAAAAACAACATAACATCATTAGATTTCTTGTTTTCTAAGATTAAAAACTTATGCATACAGGTCAACGATAAGAATTTGTTTTTTTACATGCTAAAAAATGAACAATTTAGAAATAATACAGAATGGGACTAGCAGCATCTTTCTCAAAAAATATTTATATTTTTTAAACTTGTGTAGCTTTTGATGAACTAGAAATAGATATTGAATGTTGTTGTTGTTGTTGACGATGTGTAAGATTAAAATGTGTTGATGATGATAATGATTCATTTGTCTGTTGTACACCAAGACGTTTAATTAATTGTAAAGTTTTTTCTGATTTTTTCATAATAGGTGGTGGAATTTTATTTTGTTGAATTAATTCTGGTGATGATGAATTTGATCGTGATGTATTTGTTAAATCAATAATTATTGTTGAATGTGATATTGGTAATGAAGATTTTTTTATTATATGTTCATCATATGATTTTAATGTTTGTGTTGTAACAAATCCATTTGATTTTGGTAAATTAAGTACAAGATCAGGTGCATCAATATCTTGTTGTATATTTGAACGAAAATATTGTGCATGACATTCTTCAACAGTTTGAATACCTGATAAAATTTCACGTAATGCTGTATCAATATCAATTATTTGTTGATCATTTATTGATGTAACATGTGCTGCTGCTGATGATGATGACGATGATATTGGTGGAGGTGAATTAGATGATCGAACATTATAGATTTTACGAGAAGCAGGTATTGGATGATTTTCAATTGTAGAAGAATTATTTTCTTGTTCGTTATTGTTCATATCAAAATTAACTTCTTCAAATATTTTAGTTTCTTTTGCTGATTCAAGACGATGTTCATCAATTAATGAATAATTCGATGATTGATGATATCTATTAGATATGAATGTGGTTGAAATAGAGGCATTTAATTGATCATTTGATAATGTTGGTAAAGTAATTGAAGATGATGGATTAGGTGTTAAACTAAGTTTAGGAGGATGTTGAACAGGAGCTGAATCTCGGCGTCTATAAACAAAAACAAAATTGATAAAGAAACTATTGTATTGAAATATTTAGTTTATCATTTATTTTCTTTTGTTAAACAGAAGTCTTGTCTCTCCTCACAAATTTGAATTTCAAATTTAAGTGATAGGTACATAGACATTAAAACAAGCAAACTGTTAGCATGATTTCTACAGCATTAAAAGGTAAAACACAATGCAATTACTATTGTTAATCACAGGGAGATTATTTTGAGACACATGTCTTCATCATTCTTTGATTTTATAAAAAAAACGTTATTGATATGCGACTGTTACAATCTATGACATAGAGATTAGATGGGGTTCTAAATTTCTAGCCTAATATATCCGTATTCCATTTATATCATGTTTTACCAAAGGGTTAGAACTCATGACAAAACATTAGACATTAGCAAACAATATTTAAAAGGAAAAAACTTGATTTCATCTTACTACATTTCCCGCTTACTGTCATC